AACTGTGTCTCTGAGGTGAAGCTTGATACTGTTAAGCAGCATGAGATTCCCAAGAGCCTGTGTGGGAGTCAGAGAGACGTCTCCACTCCACCTACAAGAGTCCCCTTAGCCTCGAAGGGGACATGTAAAGATGACAAGACTTATCCAATATGATGTGGTGAATGTTGTTTATTTGCTTTATACTGATAGTAGTATTGAAAGAAATATTTTGTCATTGCTACATGTGTGTTTGGGGACTGGTGGGGAACGTATACCATTGAACCCCATGTTATAATGCTTCCTATCTACGATATTTCACCTAGCGATGGATTTTTCAGGAGCGTAACCCCATCGTATCTCAGGTTACCTGTATGTGAATGAGTAGAAAGCAATGGCATGAAGTGATTTTTGAGAAAAGATGCATAATGATAGGTGATTGGAGAGAATTGATAGGGGCAAATCAGATAGGGAGTTTTGTTGAGGAAGGAAAGTAACAAGCCAGAACAAGTCTTTTGAAACAATAAGAATAAAGAATGACAATGTATGAAGGGAAGATGTGTGGGTGGGTGTACATTTGCTTTTGTTTTCAGCCAACTTGCATTAAGCAGGCAAATAGCTTGAAAGAGAAAATATAAGGAATGATCCTGGAAAAAATAAATAAAATAAAATAATATATATATATATATATATATATATATATATATATATATATATATATATATATATATATATATATATATATATATATATATATATATATATATACAGTGGGGTATGCTACTTGAATCTGGTGGTTCGACCTTGTTAGATTATAGCATTGTTAGATTATATAGGATCAATCTGTTCCAGGCCCCAAATACAACCACTTAACACTGAAAAATATAATATAAAATTGTAAAAATTGTAAAAAAGTGCATAAATATGCATCTAAGCCCTGAAATAAAGAATATCATTTATACTTGTAATAAAAAAACAATAAAGTAGTAAAAAAATAAAAAAAATTTTAAATAATGTTAGATATATAGGAGTTTAGATTCGTTATAGCATTCTCAATTTTAAGAGTAAAATCGTTAGTTATATGAATATTAGTAGTAGGATCCGTTCATTATAGCATACCCACTGTATATATATATACAATCAACCTAAACTGCAGTCCCCACTTCGCGTTTCACGTTCTGGTGCCTGCCAGAACCCAGGATGCTCACATTCATGGGTGAGTGTACCCTTTTACGGGTGAAGTATAATTTTTTTTTTAGCTCATAAAATTCATACAAATTATCCGCCAGAATATAATTTACATTTATATAAACATCATAGATTTTGCATTAGACATACAAATTTTAGATATAATGTTTACTCTGAGTAAATATGTTATCTTTTGTGCAAAATATATGACATTTATATTCAAAATATTCCTGGTCTTACAAGGAATCCAGCAATGTCAATTATATTATCCTAACTTTAGTCTGATTTATTATTTACTAAAAGGTAAACAGTCTGGTATTCCCACATTTATCTGGTAGGGGGACGGCGACCAACCACCTGGCATGTGTGAAGAATATTTTTTTTCTTACTAACTGAAGATATTTGTTTTAGCTCATAAAATTCATACAAATTACCCGGCCAGAATATAATTTACATTGCTGGAATTCTTACTTTTGATGATCATTTTGAATATAAACATCATATATTTTGCATTAGACATAAATTTTTTAGATATACAGGAAAAGTCCAAAAATCCGGATGCCAGAAATTCAGACCACCCGAGAATCCGGACTTTCAAAATTCAAACTTAACTTTTTTTTTAGCTGGCTTTGTGTGTGTGTGTGCATGTGTGGCGCCCAGCTGCACAGCGACAACAAGTGACCACGCTGTCGCCACTTTAAAACGAGCAATCAAACTGTGACAACATATGTAATTTTGGGCCCTATTCTTCATTTACAGAGTACTGTACAAGCCCATAATAATGGCTCCTAAAGTAGATGAACTTTGTATGAAGAGAAAGAAGAACACATTGAAATTGGTGACAAACTTGAAATAATTAAGAAACTAGGCATGGTGTGAGCGAATACTGTTCTAATGGAAACATACTGACATTGGAAAGTCTACAATTTATGATATAAAAAGGCAAAGAATAAAATTTTTGAATTCACAGCTTTATCTTTAAAACTGC